ATGGACTATCCACTTAATTCAATGTATTTATAACACCAAATAATTTTTCATACATTTTGAAGCAAAATCACCCTTCCTATTAATTTTCAACCAAATTTTAAAGATATTCCCTCAATTATGTCTCCTCATATATCATTCTTTCGCGGAAAAAAAATCTTTTATTTTAAAGAAAATTTTTATTACGTAACATTTCTCCTTCTAATATTTTCCCAAAATCATGAAATACTTTTTCTTTCTATTTTCTTAAAAACTTAAAGGCCTGAAAATTTGTTGGATATTTCAACGTTGAAATTGATATCGGTATAATAACAAGTGTCGACATAGTAATCATCATCATCACAATATTAGAAGAAAAATTGAGAGGCGGAGTGAGTGATTTTATTGTTGTTGATAACAAATACTTAAATAATTTATTTTATAGGCTAAACAAATATAAATCGTTATAAAAAATGCATATTTTTTTTCTTTTCATCTTTCAATTCCTTTAATTTATATTAGTGTTATGAAAGTTTTTTAACGTTTTCATATTTTATTTAGTTAAGTGTATATTAGTGTAATGAAAGTTATAAAGAAACATAATTAATTGAATTTTACATTTAAATGCTTTCAGTTTTTTTAGAAAATACCAACAAAATAGAAAGAAAAAATATTTAAAATTGGAGATAAAAGATAAATAGGAATGTCGGGTATAGAGAAGTGCCGCAGCAGATTATCCTATTCATCTTTATATATACACAGAGAGAGATATCTTTTGTGATCTTCTGTATATTGGTATTTTTTATGTTTTAAATAGTTTATTTAAAAATTTTATTTGTTTTCTATTTTTGGTCAATTGTCATTATTTCTAGGGAAAAAGGTCAAATATGTTCCTAAACTATTTATAAAAGTTTAGATATATCCTCCATTTAAAGTATGGTTCAATCATGCCCTTGCCGTTCAATTTTTTGTCCAAATATGCCCTTATGAGCGTTAGTTGTTATATTGGACATATCCAATTTATTTTTCATTTTTTTAAATGCCACATGGAATTGTCATGTCATTTCGATCTTACCACATAACATTTATATGAAAATGGAAAGATATTCGGACTCATAAATACCTAATACGAACCATAAATCAGCTCTTTTTAAATTCACTATTGACCCATTTTTAACTATTTTGTTTAATTTTTATTATTGCGGTAAATCCCAAAAATGAGTAATTGATTAATAAAAAATAGGAAAAATATGAAAAAAAATATAAAATTAACGCCAAAAATTCACAAATAAAGATAGTAACCTTAAATCTAACATTTTAATTTTTTCTATTTTTTATTTTTTGATAAATCTCGAAAATGAGTAATTCATTAATAAAAAATATGAAAAGTATGAAAAAATATAAATTAATGCCAAAACTTCACAAATATATATTGTAACATTTCATTCTACAATTTTTTTAATTTTTTTAAATTTTTTGGCAAATCCCGAAAATGAGTAATTTTTTAATAAAAAGGAAAAAATATGAAAAAAAATAAAAAAATATTACGTCAAAATTCGCAAATAAATATAGTAAACTTAAATTCATTAATTTCAACAATTTTTTTTATTTTATATTTTTTTCATATTTTTCTATTTTTTATTTGTGAATTTTTTGCGTAATTTTTATATTTTTTCATATTTTTGTTAATAAACTCATTTTTGGGATTTATCGAAAAAATTAAAAATAAAAAAATGTTAAAATTGTTGAATTTAAGGTTACTATATTTATTTTTAATTTTTGGCGTTAATTTTATATTTTTTTTCATACTTTTTATTAATCAATTACTCATTTCGGGATTTATCAAAAAAATAAAATAAAAAATGTTTAAATTGAATTTAAGGTTATTTTAATTATTTATGAATTTTTGGCGTTAATTTTATACTTTTTCATATTTTCCTATTTTATTATTAATCAATTACTCATTTTCGGAATTTATCGAAAAATATAAAAATCAAACAAAATCATTGAAAATTGGTCGGATAATTTATTCAAAAGGGGGTTGATTTATGGGTCGGATTAGGTGTTTATGAGTCCGAATATCTTTCCATTTTCATATAAATGTTATGTGGTAAGACTAAAATGACATGACAATTCCATTTAGCAAGAAATGAAAAATGAGTTGGATATGTCCAACATGACAACTAATGTCCATAAGGGCATATTTGGACCAAAAGTTGGACAGCGAGGGCATCAGTGAACCAAACTTTAAAAGGATGGTACATCTAGACCTTTTCGAACCGTTTAGGGGCATATTTGACCCTTTCCCCCCTTATTTTTATTATTGTTTTTTTTTGTTTTTGATAGTTAATTTTCTTTAAAAAACTATCTCATTTTAATCAGGTATTTAAATTTAAATTAACTTATTTTAATTAGTTACTTACATTTTAGGAATCACTATTTCCCTATAATTAGTTATTACACGTATCTTTTATTTTTTTTCAAATACAATTTTGTAAATTTAATTTCAGTTGTTTTTTTATGTTTGCAAATTGCAATTTAATTTTATTTTTAGATTTTTGTAAAAATAAAAAAAAGTGCTTATCCTAGAAATAAATTTTCACCCGAAATGCAAAGTCTGATATAATGTATTTAAATAGTAATTAGTATTTTTTTTTAATAAGAAAGTACATGAAACATTTTAGTTTGTTTACTAATTTTTATACATAGAAAAAAATTGGGAAAAAATTCTAATTCTAATTTTAATTGAAATTGTTGTAATAATATCGAATTTTGAAAATAACTACTCATACAGTACAATTTATAATAATGCAATCATGATGTTCACTGGATACATATATATCTTTAAAATACGCCATAAAATAGTGGAGGTTGTAAAAGTTCCTTCACAAAGTTTGATATCGTAACAATAATTTCAATCAAAATTGAAATATTTTTCGGATCGTTTTCCCCTCAAAATTATAAATAATAGAAGTTTCTATAATTAACCTTACATAAAGTTTTTGAACACTCCAAGTAAGGAAATTGCAACAGAAAAATTCTTCCATCTTTTTTTTGTTTCTATTGTGAAGACTTTTATATTTATGTAAAAAATATTTTATTTTCAATTCATGTTAATTTTAAGGTAGGTTGAAATCATAATCTTTCTCATACCCATATTGATCCCCACTATTTCCCCAAGCAATTCTTCTTTTAAGTATGCTCACACTCACTACAATACTATGCCTACTTCAATCTTCCACTGTAGAATTAATTAATACCATCACCTAGGGCTTAACAACAACATCAAAGCCCCACCTATTGCTCTAGCTTGGGTTCCTCCACCAATTAAATACTGTGATGGTCATGTTTTCAATCACACTCAGAGTTTGCAAGAAACTAACTGGTTAATTGGTTTTGCAGGAGCAGTGAATGCTTTGCAAACAGAAGCACTAGCACTGTTCACGGCCTACAACTCGCAATAGCTCATAATATAGACCCAAAATACATTATGTATGATTGCAGACACCTCCTCTTTTTGCACATGCATTCTGACACACTTTGATTCTTCAATATTTAACCAACCTCCTATTTTTGTTATATCAAGGAGGGTTACGCAATCAAGAAAACACAAACAAGGATGTTTTTGCCAATGTATTGTTCACAAATTTTTGTAATGTTGATACAACTAATGCTAGTTATCTTACTAGTTCCAAGGATAAAATAGATACTACAACTACTATTTATAGCTCACTCATGGGAATAAAATTATATCGAGCTTAAATGTGACACTTTTTACTCCTCTTATTATACATATACTCGTAAACATATTTGTGCGTTACACGGATACATAAAAAGTAATCACACTTAAAATTTAAATTTAGCTATATAATATTTTTAATATTTATTTATTTTTAGAAAAATTGTTAAATGATCCAATTTACATGTATCCATCTTTTACTTTTTGTAACTATTAAATGAAAGTAAAAGAAATGAGACAAAGTAAATCTACAAATTTTAATATTACCTAAAATATAAAATTATTGATATTGTATATCAATATTTGTGTGTGCAAGGAAAAAAATCTAAGAAAAAAAATGAAATAATAGGTACAGTTTTATGATCTATACAATTTTAAAAGAAATCTTCCAAAAATAATTATGGTCTTATAAAATATTAAAACAATAATTATGAACAAATAAAAAAAATATAAAAAGAAAACTAATCAATACGTTCCGTACCCACATTACCTAACTTACAAACACTATTGATTTTTCAAATAATTAGAATTAGTTGCTTTTACATTTTTGTATTAAAAATGAAAGGCAAGTTTAAGTCAATTGTGCCTATATACATCTTCAAATATAAAAATAATTGAATAATTTTCAAGATAGTCACATTAATCTTCTATCCATTTGTAGTAAGAATTGAAGGAGGGTAATTTGCAATATGGTTATACTAAGTAATAAGTTATTGGAAAATTATTTATATTATCATATAATGATCATTTAAAAATAATTTTGAGTTTCTTAAAAATGGAGAAAAAAAGTAGAATCACTTTATCATTGCTTAGACTGGAAAGGAGAATCAACTCTCTATAAATTCCTCCATGAATCACGAAGAAAAGTATTTGATTATTATTAAACATTAACTTGGTTTTTAGTTAATTAATTTCTTTACTTCAGTGATCATTTTACTAATCACTAAATTAAAATACAAAAAATACTTTAGTGATTATTTTATTTTAAATTTAATACCTCCTCCCCAACCTACACACACAAGATTGATAATTTCTAAATTTAATTTAATTTATTTTAGTTATTATTTTACAATCCACTTTTATTTATTTTTAAATTTGGTTATTAGTAGTAATTTTTTTCTTTTAACAAATTCTCATTTTACCATCATTTTTTTAATTTATAAGCTAACATTTATTTGTAAATTAATGTCTTTCTCTGAAAATATGCTCATTTTCCTAAATTTTATTTGCTGATTATTTATATTTTTTTGAAAAAGAATGTCAAGTATGACAAATCAGATTTCATTTTACGTAGTCTATTTTTTTTAATTTCATCATTTGTAAAAATTGGAAAGCATCGACTCAACTAATTAGAAAGTATCAAAAAATAAAATTAACATGCTGATTACTCCACTAATTAAAACTTAAGCATCAAACAAACAAACTCAAAATATTATTTACTCCTTGTTTGAGTTCATATTGTCATAGTGTCCAAAGAAAAAAAATTGTGACATAATATGTTATACTACCATCGTTACAATCTCTCTCTCTCTCTCTCTATATATATATATATATATTAAATTTTTAAAAAATAAGAATTTGAAGGATTATATAATAAAAAAATAATGAATAATGAGACAAGAATGATGTTTATGACTTGAATTTACATGATATTATCCAAAAATGAACAACACGAGCTAGCAAATTTCATTGCATTTGATTGTAATTTCAGCAATTGTGTTAAAATTGTATAGTCATGTATATTCTTGAATGTTAGAGAACAATGTAAATTTCTTAGTATAAGAAATTCTATATATAATAGTCGCATTTAAAGATACAGTTTATTGGTATAATTGAAATTTCCTTGTAAAGTGGACGGTTGTTGAGTAGTTATGAAACTGCATTAATTTTAACTAATTTTATTTTAATTGTGTACCAATTAATTTGTTTTAAAATAGATTTCGTATGTAAATTGATGAGTTTTTTCCGGTTGTGTTTATGTATGCTTAATACGTAGTCACATTACTTTTTTATATTTTATCTTTTTTTTTGTCTTTTTGGGGTAGAAAATGGCATTTTTATTTTTAAATCTAATTTGAATATATTTAGATAATGTTAGATAGTTCCACAAAATTAGGCATAATTTTTTTAAAGTAATATATTTTTAAAAGATAATATTTGATGGTTCAAAAAAATTAGATAATGCTTTATATTTCACAGTTGCACTACTTAAATTTTTGAAATTGATTTAAAATAATTTTTTGAAAATAAAATAGTAGATAATTATTCAAACGAATTACACGTCATTAATTTTTAATTAATTTAAAAAACTATTTTGTTAAATATAAAAATTTAAGTTCATATTTATATTTATATTTTTTTAGATAAAGCTAGATAGTTTCACAAAATTAGGCTTGATATTTTTTAAAGTAATATATTTAAAAGGATAATAGTTGATGGTTCAACAAAATTAGATAATGCTTTACAATTCCCAGTTGCACTACATTATTTTTAAAATTGATTTAAAATAATTTTAAAAAATAAAAAAGTAGATAATTATTCAAATTAATTACACATCATTAATTTTTGATTAATTTTTTTAAAAATATTATTTTTGTGGTGGTGACATGTGAAACTTTTTCTTCCTATTATATATATAGATAGATATGGATAGATAGTGGAGTTGGGAACCAAAATAAGCTACAAAAATATAAAAGTAACTAAAATAAGCCACTATTTTAGTAAGTAACTAAAATAAGCTTAGTGGAAGAAAAAGTTTCACTATATCCAATTTTCTATACTTTTTCGTTACTGCCATAACGTTTATTTTTAATATATAACGGAACTTTTTCTTCCACTTTATAAAGTGAAACTTTTTATTCCACTTTATAAAAAGTTACATTTTCATCTTCACCTTCACCTTCTCTCCTTTTTCTTTTCATGGCTTCCAAAAAAAAAATCACTTTGAAGATGGTTGCATAAAAAGTTCATTTAAAAAAATAAGTGTTAGACATAGCGATAATCATCTGCGTCAAAAATAGGCGAGACATGAAAATTGAGGATATCCCAACATTTTCCGTCATTTCAAAGTGTGAGGACTAACCAAAATAATTATTTAGTCCATAACTTGGAGCAATATCCCTATCTTGCTGAGGTAAACCGCTACAAAATATACAATAATAAGAATAATAAATAATATAAATTAATAAATAATTGACAAAATCAACAAACAATAATTGAAATATAATAATTAAGCATTACCGATCACTATCATTGATAGTTTTGTTTAAATTAAAATCATATCGGTTGGTAAGAGTATTTTGTAATGAGTCATTTTAGGAAAATCAGTAGATTGAGTTAACGCAAATTCATCAATGCTATTATGATTTTCTAATTAGGGATGAACATCGACTAATAAAGGAGAACGTTGTTGACTAATCTTAGGCTCCTTCCTAACATAGATTTCAAGTATTGTTGACTTGATTTGATCTATATAGTAATTTGGAACCCTTAAAAAGTCGGTCAACGATTCGTCATTATATATAATTCACTTTCCAAAATTTACTTGTCCATGTGATAAAAATGAAGTAGGGTATTTTCCGGCTATAATCAAATTATAATCGTACTGTTTATACCCATTCATTTATAAATTGATGAAATAAATTTATGATATCGGACATTTATTGGATATTTAGCATTGTGTTTGTGAAGATATTTTTTTTAGATGGAATTGAACAAATATAGAAGACTTTATATTGTAGGTGCTATCGACTATGTATAAATGTCCTTAAATAGATTTTTCAGAATAAAATAATAAAAATACATAATGAAATATTTTTTTCCATTTTAATGACATATCAAATCAATATAATTTATATGACAACACTGAAAAAACTTATTCAAGACATGAAAAGTATGTTTCTTGTAAAGTGTGATAAAAAGTTCCACTCTATAAAGTGGAATAAAAAGTTTCACTTTATAATATGGAATAAAAAGTTCAACTTTATAAAGTGGAAGAAAAAACTCCACTTTATAAAGTGTAAGAAAAAGTTCAGTTATATATTAAAAATAAACGTTATGAAACTAACGGAAAACGTTTAAATTATTGGATATAGTGAAACTTTTTCTTCCACTAAGCTTATTTTAGTTACTTACTAAAATAATGACTTATTTTGGTAACTTTTATATTTTTGTGGCTTATTTTGATTTCCAACTCTAGATAGTGTTATAAAATCTAAGCTTAGAATAATATAAGTATAAATGAAGAAGATAAGAGAAGTAGATATAGAATTTTTTTTTCTTATTCAAGTGTATCATACATTGAGAATAATACCTCTATTTATAAATAGAAAAATCACCTCAAAAGTCACTTTGATGAATGTCAAATCAATAGACACGTCATTATCCCATAAAGGTTAATGTCACCTTGGAAACATACATATTCAAGAAATCCATCCATGAAAATGATAAGTTCGTCCACTTAGTTCAATAAATTTATAACATATAGATTATTATTATTATTATTATTATTATTACTACTATTAAATAATAATAATAATAATAATAATAATTTATTTTTTTAAATTTTTTTTAAAATATTGCTTTTTTTGGCGCTGACATTTAGGCACAAACACCTCTCATATATATATAAAAGATAGAAGATAAAAGATATTATTATTATTATTAATTTTTTTTAATTAATTATTATTAATATGATTATTATATGCATTTGTTTTGTTATAAATA